TTTTTTTTTTTTTTTTATCCCATTAAGTAATAGTTTGTTTATGATTTTGAAATCTATCAAATTAAGTTCTGCACTCGATGAACATTTCTGGGTTTGCTTATCTACTTGTTAAGTGATTTTACAGAAAATCTCACTTAACTACAAACTAATCACCTTGTTCCAGAGTCAATGTAAATTATATGCATTTTCGGGATGTATATGATTAGATATGCCACACCCCGTTTTGCAATGTGACATTTCATATGTATTTCGCTATTATTGTCATCTTTTTTTTTATCTGTAAATTTATATATCAAAATTGAAGTTACAATGACCGTCGAACGACAAAAGAAAAGCGAAATGGGCAGTCACATGCTCGACTCCTCACTCGCAGATCAAATGTCTACAAAGTCGGTTGGTCGCTCAAGTCCCAAAACAAAGGAAAGACCTAATATACTTCAAGGACTTTCTTTTCGAAGTTGGCAAGCATATTCTGATACAAAATAAAAATAGTATGGTTTTTGTCATAATTACCCAAAAAATTATAAAAACTATTATATTATGTGATAGAATAGTTAAAAAATATTATTACCACTCAGTTAATATAAAACATAATTTTTTTGCCATAATTACCCAAAAACGAGCGGGAAACGATAATTTTTATATGGAGTTTTTTCAATACAAAGCCCGAAAGATAGGTAAACTATCAATTCTTTACCTCTTTTTATATAAATTTTAATTGATAATTTTTTTTTCAGTCAAAAAGTATAAATTAATTTTTTATTTAACTCACAAATTATTAAATTACCGTAACTTTAGATAATAATCGATAATTTTTTAGTAAAAAAGAGTAAGTTAAATTTTTATTAACTTACAAATTATTAAATTACCGTTACAAATTAAAATAACTTTATATAGTAATTAACAAAAATAAAAAATCATCCTTAAATAAATAAAAAAATATTAAATTAATTGAATAACCTATTTTTATATATATGTATATTATAAATTATTTCATAGTAATTATCTTTTTTTTTTATATATACTTATTGCCACATGGATTATTTGATAATTATTTATTAATTTATTCGTTGGTTGTGATTAGTGTGTGCCTTGTGGTCTTGAATAAGATAAACAGTCCAGCGGCCCCAGCCAGTCGCATAAAGTTCAATATAGAAAGCTAGGGTTCAGAACAAATTCGCGATCAGTTCTCTCAAGCTCTTCAATTCAGCCGCTCAGGTTAGGCAAATTGAATGATAAAGTTCGTGTTTTTTTCGAATTATTGTCGTGTTTATCATTTGTAACTTGCTCCAATCGATTATGCTATTGATTTGAATGCTTTCTAGTTTTTTGTGTTCTTGATTTGGGCTATATATGGTCGTAATCGGGGAAGCCTTTGATGTAAACTTCTTGGATTTGTGCTGCATAAAGACATTTAGGGTTAAGTTATAAGGGTATTGCTTTAATAGCTTACGTTTTTTTTGGTTGAACTTTTTATGTTTGAGCTCAGATAACTTAGACAGGAGGAGTTGTTTTAATTTTTTAATTTTTTTTATTTATTTATGTATTAAAATTTGATATGATAGGGTTCAGGTGCTGGATGATACAATGGCGGAGATAAAGTCATCCGGGAGACCGATTGATCAATTGCTGGAGAAGGTCTTGTGCATGAATATACTTTCTTCTGATTACTTTCGAGACCTCTTGAGGTTGAAAACGTACCATGAAGTGATTGATGAGATTTATGTCACTGTCACGCATGTGGAGCCATGGATGACTGGTAACTGCCGGGGACCGTCAACTGCATTCTGCCTTCTGTACAAATTCTTCACCATGAAGCTCACGGTGAAACAGATGCATGGCCTGTTGAAGCACCAAGATTCCCCTTACATAAGAGCAGTAAGTAAAATCTTGTAATGATGATGTGTCCTAATTAGCTATTGGGATGCCTGGGATGTGTAAAATTATTTATTTTGCCGAGATACAAATCAGTTTGTGTCAGCCATGCTGTTATTGGGGGAAACAATATGAAAATAAAATCTGATGCTTGACCGCTTTTGCTCTGTATTTTCTTGTTTTCCCTTACTTTTAATTGTACAGATCAGTTTTTTTTTTGAGAAGCGACGTAAGGTTTGTTTGGCTAAAGAATGGAGGCCGATTAGGGAATTTTTGTAGGGAAGTATAATTGGTATTAGTTTGTGGAGTGTGTATTATGCATGAAGACCAGTGAAGCACGAAGGTGGTGTTTGGTTGATGAGAGAGAGAAGTATTTGGGGGAAGTGATTTTTCTCTTTATGTGTTAGAAGAAATCTAATTCTCTGCTTCTAAAAACTCTGCTAGAGAATGTAGAGGACCTGAGCATCCAACAGAAGCTACAGAATTTGATCATTTAATGTAATCAATCAAAGATTTCACATATTTTTGTTTTTCACCGCCCAACAGTAGAAGCTTGGACCTAGACATAGGTGTGGATAGAATAAGTTGCTTCATATGACATTTCGGATTCTATCATATTTTCTTGGACTTTCTATCCACTTAAGAAAGTTCCGTATAGGCGCAGAGAGGTTAATTTGGAATGAGAGGACACGTGAACTGGAATGATCTAAGTATTTGCATATGGCGTCATTTATTTTATGTTAATTGCGTCTTTAATTAGTGAGGTTTGTGGACCCTTCTATTATCTATTATTGACCTTCTTGGGATCTTCCTCTTTTATTGCTCTATTGTGACCATTTAAAAGCTTTTTTTGTGTACTTGTGTACACTTTCTTGGTGTTGAAGTGGTGGAGCAATAGTATGCTGTTTCTTGTTCTGTTATCAGATTTTCCAGTGCTTTCATCAAGCTTTACTTATTAATGAACCCTTGACTTGGTTATTGTAGATTGGTTTTCTCTACTTGAGGTACGTTGCAGATCCAAAGACATTATGGAGTTGGTACGAACCATACCTGAAAGATGACGAGGTACGAAAAAGGTTTTTCCTCTGCTTCTTTCTATTTATTAAGAATTATTGTTATATGAACTGAGATCTTAAATCCTATGCAATTAACCCACTCTGCTAGCAATTTTGCCATGGCTTTTTGGAAGCGGAATGAACAAATGCTCAGTAAGAATGAAATCAAGTGAGATGATTGGCCTATTTGATTCCTGATTTTGGTTATTGAAACCTGTGGAAGATGTTTAAAATTGTATCCAAAAGTGTTGCATTATGTTTTTTCAATGGGCTGTGTAGTTCTGTTTTATACTTTTGTTAGTTCATTCTACATATGACATGTCTGAAATTTATAATGTAGCATGCTTGTCTGTGTCGATTAGTGTAAAATAAATGACTCTTGGTCTATAATATTTATAGTACACCTTCTGCTGTCCCCTCTCTGTATACTTATTTTTATGTATAATGCGATTACATCCATTATTTTCACTTATCATGCTGTCATCCTCTTCCGACAATGACTGTATGATATGTAGATCATGTGTAGATAGAGAGCTCTTGTTTATGATTTGAAAATTTTATGATTTTTGTTTCGACGCTCAGGATGGGAAGATTTTAACAGTTCCTCGTGCATCAGCATGATTTCCTGTGCAGGTGATCTGCTTTTGTGTGGTAACCATAGTTCTAGAAACAAATTAGTTATATTTCTGATATAGGAACTGGTTCTCTTTACTTTGTATTCTGTTCCCCTTGAAGTTATCACTCAGATTTATCATGTTAGATAGAGGCTTGATGGATTTCTAACAAGCTCTCTGATGCAGTGGTAATTTTTTTTTTTTTTTTTTTCCATCCTAGGAATTGGTCCATCTTGTACAGAACCTCGACTAATAGTTTCTATTCTCTTAGTTTCTCGTTTAACTTTCTCCCCTCAGCATCAAACTTTTACCCACTTAATAGACATTTTTTTTTGTTCACCGATTTTTGACATTCCAATTCAGGAATTTTCCCCTGGTTCGAATGGCCGAATGACTACAATGGGTGTCTACGTGCGTGATTTGCTTCTCGGACAGGTCATTAACCCATCTACATTGTTATTGTTCTCAAATCAATCATTATTATTACTATTTCCAAACTCAAAAAAGTTCCTTTCATTTTGCGTGCCAGTATTACTTCGACACACTCTTCCCGCGCATTCCTGTGCCCGTCATGCGAACAATAGTCTCCAACCTCGAAAGCATGAAGCTCCCCACCAAACACTGCGGGGTCACAGGCGAGACGACCCGCGGGTCGGAGGAGACAGCTCGTCGGCCCCCTTCTGTCAAGGCCGCCCTTTCCGTCTCGTTCGGGCAGCGGGCTCCCCACCGCGCTTCCACCCGTGACTCATCTCCTGTCAGGCGCCACAGAAGCCAGAGTCGAGATTTATCTGACCGGGAATACGAAAGAGAGAGGGGCCGGGACAGGGATCGCGAGAGAGAAAGGGACAGAGATCGAGAACGAGAACGAGATCGTGAGAGGGATAGGAGGTATGATTATGATAGGAGGTCCCGGGATAGGCACGGGAGGGATTATTATGACCGGAGGGACCGTGAGGACCGTTATCGCCGGAGCAGAAGCCGGAGTCGAAGCCGGAGCCGGAGCATATATGAAAGGGGCGAACGTGACCAAAGCCGTTCGAGTCCGTCTAGGAATGGGGATAAGGATAGGACATCTGCTGCTAGTAATCTTGCCAAGCTTAAGGATTTATACGGAGACTTGAGTGGGCAAAAGGAGGATTCGGGCAAGGACAAGGGCACAAATCAACCGGGTGGTACGGAGGAGGTGATAAGGCTAGGCGGCTCGACTTGGAGGTAGGATGAGAGATTATTATTTAAGTTGACCTTCTCAACAGACAGGATAAACGTCCGGGCTTGTTAGCATCCTCGTAAGTTTTTAGTAATTGTTTTGTACTTTGTACGTGTTTTCAAATTCAGGCCCGACACTGGGGATAAACTACTGTTATGATCGTAAGGGCAAAGGTAATGTTATATGAATTGATATCTCGGTTGAAGTCAAGGGTATTTCTAAATCAAATCTTATGGGCAAAGATGGATATTTACAAATCAATGTATTTATTATGTCTCAAGTCATTTAAGATAACTACTATCGGGCCCGTGCAAATGCACAGAACTATTAAAAATAAATGGAAACATAAATAGAATAAATAATTTTTATATGCAATTAAAACTGACTACTATATACAATGTTTATATATGTATATTTTATTTCTCATTATATATCAGTATCTTGTGCCTTTTCATTTGTAACTCGAGAAGCAACAATGTAAAGTTCAGAATTAAAAGCCTAAAAGTAGATTCCTATATATATGTATTCTTTAGTTTTTTTATTAATAGAACAAATTGATATAGTATTAACAAATTTCTTTCTAAAATTGTTATTTTTTTTTTATGAAATTTGACGATGTGGACCAAAAATTATAGGTAAACGAAAAGTTGAGTAAGTAAATTGATTTAATTGGAACATCATATACTAAATGCGCAAATATATATAGGTGGGGTACAATAATTTCCTCAAATTATTTTATTATCTTAACACATTTTATTACAGTTTATTTGAATTTATCATGTAATTTAGATTGTATTTTGACACTTAAATATATTATTTCTTACTTGTCTGGTTTTATAATTTATAATGTAATCTTATTTATTAACTATTATTTTCTATACATATATTTACAATTTCTTTATTTGTGAACTATTCTTTTATTTAAATAAGTACCATATTATTATCTAGTATCTTCATATTTTTAGAAAGGCTTTAAATATAAATTATTATTTAACATACATCATAAATAATTCACCGTGATTCAACATATCATGTACGTGTAAAAATAAATTTACTTTTATATTAATGAGAAATCAAAACAGACAAAACATTTTAAAATGTCTATCTATAAATGGTAATAACAAATTTAGGTCCACTTTTACTATTAACTTATTATTAAAAAAGAAAAAAAAAATACCGGAGGTTGAAGCACGTTTAATAAAATAATAAAAAATTAGAACTAACTTTCCATAAATAGTAATATAATGAGGTACCCACTAAAACACTTACTATTTTTAGTAAGTGGGTTGCCTAATTATATAGTAATAGTTTATCCTTCACTTCACACCAGTAATCAAGCCTATTCACACACACACACACACATATATAAATATATATTGTGCATATTTACATATACAAATAAAATAATTATAAGTAATATATGGATATTATATTTTTAAATATAAGTTACATAATATACATCACATTTTACAAATTTGATCATTATAAAAATAAACAATATAATTATAAACTATTCTACTTGAATATGAATCACTATAAAGATGATGAGATGAAGTATAGTGAAAAATATAATATTTATGAATTAGGATTGTGACCAATTAGTTAATTGAAAAAACACTTTTAATGATGAAACTCTAACGGAAATTTTTAATAGAAGTATATCCTAATGGAATTCGAATGACAATTCCAATTGATATTCCAATGTTATTATTTTCGTTGGAATTTTTCAATGGATTCCAATGAAAATTCTAACGAAGATATTCCGATTGAATGAGTGAGTATTAGAATTTCCTTTGCATTTTGACGATTCCAATAGTATATTTTTTTACGGTTGAACTATGAGTGAAAATAAAAATTCTAACAAAAATTTTTACGAATCCATTGGAATCATCGAATTCCAACTAAAATTTCAATGAAAAAACTCATTCCGACAAAATGCATATTGGATGGAGTTTACTAAGCCGTATTTCATTCAGTTAGATGGAACCCTGTATATCATCTGGATCTATCAATGCTTCTACTAGGAGCTATTGAACGATACCCGCCCCAAGGCAAGCATTCCATTTCCAACTATCTCGTCATTCGACAAGATTTTAGTGGCCCAAGCACTTATTTGTTGGGGAGAAACTGATTCAATTTGCAGCTGTTGATGAATTTTTATTCATTCGCTTCCTTCCTATTAATCTGGAAGTTCTTCGCAGATACAAGGCTCGATGAAATTGGCCAGAGCTAAAGAGCGTTGTTTTCGAACGAGCAATCGAAAAGAAAGATATTCAAAATGCCCTTCCTCGCCAATGCACCTTTTTTTCGATCTGCATCTCAGTTACATCGACCTCCACTCAATTGTCAAAGCTTGGCTATTCAGGGTATGGGCAGTGGACTAATTGCGACAAAGAGGTCACGAATGAAGTGGTAATCAACTTCTATGTGCTTAGAGCGGGCATGCAACACAGGATTGGCCGCCATGTGTGTAGCTCCCGCTGCAGGAAAAATGGATAGCGAAATGGCACAGGCGTAGCAAGTAAGAAAGCCATAAGAGTTCAAAGGTAGTAATAGCGAGTGCCTTGTACTCTGCTTCGGCACTAGACCTTGAAAGAGTCGGTTGCTTTTTGGAAACCCAAGTCAGTAAGGCTTTTCATAGAAATACGCAGAAGCCAGTAGTGGACGCTATTGGGACAGCCAGTAAGGAAAGCAGGAAAAGAGGGAAGGAGCCAGTGTTTAGGTCTAGGATCTAGTAATTGTCTACAGAAAAGCTCATACATTCACCGTTTCTGACACAGCTCATAAGTCACAGGTAAGAATTTTTTTTATTGGAATATCTGTTGGAATCGTTGCAAATTAAAGAATTTATACCATTGGAATATCGGTTGGAGTTCTCATTGAAATATATTACGGTCGAAATTTTCATTGATGACAATTTTGTTGTAGTAAAAAATATTACATAATTATTATTATTTTATAGCAATTGTTTATGCAATTTTAAAGGTTTGCTATTCCATTAAAATCGATTAGGTAATAAAAAAAATGCTTAATGAAATAAAAATAAAATGATAAAATTAATTTACAAATAAATAATTTGAAGAAAAAAAAAATTGCTATAAATTTTCTTGTAAATGTATAACTTACTGAATTTTTAGTGTGAATTCATAATTATTTAATATTACTAGTAATTATTATATGTTCAATAAGTTAAAATATATTATTACACTGAGCTAATGCATACCGTAACAATCAGTTTCTATAATTAAATAAAAATAACGAAAAAATATCATTAATTTTTCGCCTATATATAAATATATTATTACGTTGAATTAATGCACAACGTAACAGTCAGTTTCCATAGTTAAATAAAAAAGAACAGTCAGTTTCCATAAATATAATATGTCCAGTGTGCATTAATTGTAGAACACATGTCAATATATCATTTGTGAATAATTATGAATGACTTCATAAGTCGAATCTTCCGATGGCTCCATAGCATAATCGATATCAAATAGTATCATTTTTGCAATTATTCTTATTGAGATCATTTTTTTGTGGTTGTAAGGCATTCCATGGAATTAATATCAGTGGTGGGACATTCAATGTTTTCTTGATCATTGATTGAGTGGTTTGGAAAGACTTTTGTTGCTTCAGTTAATGCCATTAATTGGAAATCAGCCTTACCTATGTCTATGCTAAATTCTTATCATAAACAATTTCTGGTTTATATGTCATTTATCTATCAAGATTCAAGAAACAAGTTTATATATGTATATTGAATAAACTTGTTGATCTTGAAAAATAAATAAGACAGAACAAAAACAATTATGAGGACAATTTGTTTGTCTTGTGCATCAAACACTAACCAAAGTCATTCAATTTAGCCTTAGTACACCCAACTAGCCAATGGGTGGTCAATTATTTGATGGGAG